CTATTTCTCTTGAGAGGCAAGGGGAGCAGGAGGTATTGGGTAGAGATGAACTGCTGCAGCAAAGACGCTCAGGGGGACACAGGGAACCAGACAGGCGGGGGGTGCTCCTAAAATGCCGCTGCCCCACAGCGGGCACGGAGAAGGGCTCGGCCTCCCGACAGGACACGCTGGCAACAGGAGCAGAGGCAGCTCTGAGCAGGCGCGGGCCGGGATCGCTCGCGCCTGGCCCCACCAGCGCGGCCCCCAGGGCGGGAGGCGGCGGGAATGGCGCGGCCCCCGGCAGCTCCAGCGGCGAGCCGGGCGCTGTCTGTGCCCTCGCGGGAGGAGCTCCCGCCGTGCTGTCCGCTCGGCAGTGAGCCGCGTCCTCTGTGCGCTCCAGACAAGATATGGCGACCTCAGGCAGAGCTCCCGGGAAAACGTGCAGCCGTCCAGGTGCCTGGGAGACGGGAAGGGCCAGAGTCTGACGCTGGTATCGGAGGGCAGCAGTCAACACCAATGCGACCAGGTGGACGGTCTGGTCTGCTGTAAGCTGAGAGGCAGTGGGAAGGCTAAGAAGCATCAAGGAGGCTGAGGAGAAGATTGGTACAGCCACACTCTGCAAACCCCGAGGCAAATGCACCAGCCAGGGGCATCACAAGGAGCGAAGGATCCCCGCTCTCTCGCCTGCAGGCAGAAGAAGAGGACCTAAGACAGGGGGAAATGGGAACAGATTTCTCACAAATCACCTCCCCAGGTGCCCTTAAACAACAGGTAGGAGGCTCTGGAACTTGAGGGCCAGGCACATGACACTGTGGACAAAGGTTCATCCAGGGGGGAGGGGTTGCCTCAGTGGAGTCAGTTGACTCCCCTCATCATGACCATCTCTGATAAGAAAAAAAATAATGGTAATTGTCATTTGTGACTCCATTCTGAGAGGAACAGGGCTCCCAATAGGCCACAACCCATAGAGAAGTGTGCTGCCTCCCTGGGGCCCAGGGTAGTGATACTGCCAGGAAACTCTCCAGCCTCGTATAACCCTCTCATTATTATCCTGTGCTGGTTTTTCACATGGGCAGTGATATACCAGCAAGAAGTCTTGAGGACAATCGAGAGATGTCAGGGTCTTGAGACAACTGGTTGAGGGATCTGGAGCACAAGTAGTGTTTTCATTATCCTGACAGTTGCAGGGAATGATGGGGATAGAAACAGGAAAATCCAACAGATCAACACCTGGATTGAAGCCTAGTGTTATCAGCAGAATTTGGCTTTTTTTGATCACTGGTTGGTTTATATAACACTGAACCTGCTGGCAACAGATGGGGTACACCTATTTCAAAGTGGGGAAAAGGAATTTTGCTTAGGAGTTAGCAGTTGAGAGACCTTTAAGCTACAGCTGAAGGGGGAAAGGGATAAATCCAGGATCACTAGAGATAAGCCTGGGGGTGGCATGCCACTATGTGAGGGCTGGGTTGCTACCAAAGTCCTTCAGTATGCTGTCTCAGTATAGGTAGGGAATGGAGATCCAAGTGGCAGCAAGGATGCAAGAGTTATTGAGGTATGAGAAACCACAGAAGTGCCTGTGAATGGTCATGCAGGAATTAGCGGTTCTTCCCCCCAGAAAGTCAGTGGGACCAATAGCCCAGCTGAAGTGCATCTACACCAATGCAGGCAGCATGAGCAACAGACAGGAGGAACTGGAAACCATTGTGTATCAGGAAAGCTATGACATACTTGCCATCACAGAGACATGGTGGGATGACTCACACAACTTGAGTGCTGCAACAGGTGGCTATGAATTCTTCAAAAGGGACAGGAGATGAAGGAGAGGCAGTGGGGTAGCCTTGTAAGTCAGAGAGTGTTTTGATTTTCTGGAGCTTAATGGTGGTGTGATAGGGTTGAGTGTATCGGGGTAAGACCCAAGGGGAAAGCCAACAAGGCAGATATTGTGGTGGGAGTCTGTTACAGACTTCCCAAGCAGTATGAAGAGGCAGATGAAATATCTTATAAGCAAAGGAGAAATCTTATGATTACTAGCCCTTGTTTTCATGTGGGATTTCAACTTACCAGTTGTCTGCTTGAAATACAACACAGCAGAGACAACACAGCCTAAGAATTTAGGAAAGGCAAATCCTGCTTGACCAACATGGGTCTCCTTCTGTGGTGGGACTCTTTTGGAAAATATGGAGTCCAGCTCCTGGGGAACCTGGGAGAGTGAGATTCTCATCTCTGTACATGCTGCTGGTGCTCTTCCCTTCCATAGTATGTGTCTTACCCTGAGCAATGGTGGGACAGGCTGCTCTGTGATGCTGCCCAGTGCATTGGCACCTGCACCCCTCTTTTGGGGGAGCTTCAGCCCTTCAGGGCCACCTTGTTACTCTGGTGTTGGGGCTTGGGCTCATGGGGCCTTTGGTCAGTGCTTGGGTAACAGTCTTCCTTATATCTTCAGGGCTTATATCATTCCTTATATCTTCAGGGCTTTCTCCTGGTGCTGCTTCTAGCATATCTCCTGCTCCTGGAGCTGTGCTCAGGGTCCCCATGGGATAATGGGGCCCTGGGAGCTTACTGGAGAGTTTGGGAACCAATAGTCATGTCTAGGGAAGTTTTCCAGGAGGGCACGTGTATGAGGGATGATGCAGTTGCAAGGCACATGGTGTCTTTGCAGCATCCCATGTGCAGTTGTGGTCCTTCTTTGTGGATCCTAGTGTAGGGAAAGAGGTCCATCCCAGTGACCCTAGGGGATAGGAGAGCCAAAACGTGGGGTTGCTTTCCCTTGTGACCTGGGGGAGACCTCTCCAGTTTTATTCTGAGTGCAGGAAGCTGTAGCACTAAATCTGATGAGAAACTTGTTTAAACATGTCTTAAAATGGCCTTTTGTGGTCTCTTTGCAAACACGTGTTTCTTCTTC